TGACCCTGAATAGGACAGGCAGTTATAGAAATCGGATGGATGGAAACTCAAACTTTGGCAGACAATTTTATTTTGTTTTACATTCCTCTAAAGCACAGGCTTGAATGATAGTGTGCCTGAGTCGTGGGAAAATGGTCTGGACTGACTTTACATTTATACAGTCCAGAAATGTGAGTTGTATAAGCCAGTACTGTGGCAAAGATCTTCAGACACCAGGGGCTTCTCAAACTACTTCCCGGTGCTCAACTTAGAGCATCTGAGCTAAGCAAGTCATTTGTAGCCTCAATACCGAATGCACCCGGTTTATGATGCCAGATGTGTGCTGTGTATGAGTCTGTGCCCTCGATAAGCCATTCTGGGAAATGGATAGAAGACTATTCGGATTTCGATGATATTGTGACTTAGAGCCCTGCAGTATTCTAATATGACAGTTATATGCTAATGAGGTGTGACCATTTTGTTTCTGTCCTTAGGGTCGGCTGAATGAGCTGATGTCTCAGATCCGCATGCAGAACCACTTCGGGGCAGTCCGCTCGGAGGAGCGCTACAGCGTCGATGCAGACTTGTTGAGGGAGATAAAGCAGGCAAGTTCTAGTGAAGGTTCAGTCATGCTTCCGGATGTCTTGTTTGTTTGCGCGCATTGGCTTCGCAGTCCTGTGTCGCTGGTGGGAAACGCCTCTCCTCTGTGTTACAGCATTTAAAACAGGAGCAGGAGGGCCTGACTCACCTGATAAGTGTTATCAAGGATGATATGGAGGATATCAAACTGATCGAGCACGGTCTACAGGATGGCGTCCATGTCAGGGGTGGCATGCTCAGCTGATGTGATGTTCTCACAGTTTGTCCTCCTCCTCCTTCTGCTGCTGCTGCTGGGAATTACGTTTCACCTCGACTGGCAGGGTGCATCGATGGCTCCTGCCTGAGGCCTTGAACTGTTTATCCTAATTGAAATCTATCTCCTGGAAAGTGATCAAACATTTGTAAAGACTCACTGCAGTGCTAGGAAGCTTCTTCAGTTTTTTTTAATATAAGACTTGGCACTTCTCTGTGGGTACAAATGTACACTTGTAAGGTGTTTTTAATGTCCGAGTGTCAACATGTAAATATGCATTTTTATCATTTTCAGCATTAGGCAGCCTATTCCTGGAATTGGCACGGTGTTGATTTGTTGATGGATATAATGCAGAGCTACGTTCTTCTATTGTTCTGTAATAATACATATGGAAAGCCAACATATCTGTCCAGAAGTGCAGTGTACCCCAAGATTAAAGCAATGTTATTCAATAAAGTTTGTCTGAGTCTCTTTGCCTATTTGGAATAATAAGTATGCAATTATCACATCATAACAACCAAAATCTTTGACTTTTTTTTACATTAAATATGGAACCTTTTTGCATAAAAACCAGAACCCAAATCAATTCTAATCCAGAAGTTAGCCAAATGACCTTGTTTAAATCTTATACTCATTGTCATATTCAGCAGATTAGCTGAATATGACAATGCTCCAGTAAATCGGTTTCCAAATCATTATGAGGATTATTTGACACAGTTGCCAGCACACGATTCCAACTAGAAATTGAGGCAAGTATACATTTTGTATAAATCTGCCCAATATTGAAAAATCAGAGGGTGTACAGTGGCACCTGTATTTTTTATTGGTAAATCTGGCATAGCAGAGGTAGAAATGGGGGGAAATGTGTCTATTTCAGTATTCTGTGAAAATGATATATTGGGTTCACTTCATTTTAAGCAAGGATTTTCAGCAAACCTATGGTGGTCCTTTAGCTTATAACCTTATAAACCTCCATGTGTTTCAATAAGTACGCATTTATTGAAATGTAGACTGCAAAAGGCTCGCACTTGAATCTTCGCATTCGGCTGGGTGCTTCATAGTCCTGTGCACTAGGCGGAAGGCCTCCATGAACTCGTTGATGTCAATTTTCCCATCTTTGTTGAAGTCAATGCTGACTGCCATGTCTGAGATTGCCTTGTCACTTATCCCCATGTTTAAATGGGAGCTGAACAGCTTCCATGTCTGATGAAACTCTTCGAAGGAGATGAACCCTGACGACATATGGATAGAAGGACACTTTTCATTTCATTAAAAGACATTTAGAAAATTATAAACAGTGACGGGGCAGAGAATGTAAGAGAAAGCACTGCACATAAGACTGTAGTAATGACTTGAATAAAACATTCTGCACATACAGTACTTAAGCATTCTAGCTGTATTGCACTGAGCATTTTGTTGAGTGGATTGTTGAATGAATAAATGAATGTGCTGCGAATGCTCAGTGAAATATACTTAAGCAGTTTTGATCGATTCAATTAAAGTTAATAATACGTTTGAATCGTACCTCCAGTCTGTGTATGGTGTTACTGATATGCATAAGATGGAGGGAAGGATAGTTACGTGCTCTTGTGCCATGATCAAGTCTACTGCAAAAATACACAAGACCAGCAAAAGGTACAACCTAGCCACCTAACTGCTGCTCACCTGTCGACATTGCACATTACCACGCATTACAATATTTATACTTCTGCTAAAAGCTTTAGCAATGGCCATGTAATAGGCTGGAAAATAACTGCTATTCTTACCTGAATGATCAGTGTCAATGATTCTAAAGATGGTCTCAAGGTTGGAGTGATGCTTGTACATAGTCTCAAGAAGATTCTGGTGAACAAGCTGTTTTAAAAAGTAGAAACAGTATGTGCAAATGGTATGCATCTTGACACTTCTGAATAGGCATAGCTGGCCCAGTAAATCAGAAATATTCTGTGTTGGGGTGAATATTTAGTTCTTTTAGATTGAATGGTGGACCCCATTTGTTTTACCTCAGTCCTCGGCTCAGTGATGGCAAGCTCACAAAACCACGCCTGATAGTCCAGCAACCCATCCTGTGTACTGGTCACCAGCTGGGGGCGTAGCACCCGCCAGGGCAGGCCCAGCTGAAGCACAGCCTCTACCGCAGCGGACCAGTGTTTCAGGGAGATCTGTCCTGCGGTGGGCAAACACATGACAGGGGATCAGCACCAACACGTGGCCTTGCAGAGAGGATTAACATGGGCTGCTGCTTCCTGAGGACTTATCTGACAAAGTCTGGCGTATGAATTCAGCCCCAGCTCCTTTTACAAAACCAGTCCGCGATCCCTCAGCAGCCTCACTGCCTGACGTAATGCTGGGTCGTTACTTTTTCCATATTCTTCAACTTTTCATATTAATTTGTGAAACGAAACATAACACTCCTAATGCAGTCACTTGTAAGGCGTTTTTAATGTCTGAGTGACAGCATATGGAAATACATTCCTGCTCCTGGAATGTACATGGAATGTATCGACTCGGTTGGTGGATTTATTGCAAAGCAAGGTTCTCCTATTGTTTTGTCATAATACATATGTACTTGACAGAACAGTTAAATCACAGCTAGATAAGATTTTAACAACTATGAGCTATTAGTCAAGTTCTCCCCAAACGAGCTTGATGGGCCGAATGGCCTCCTCTCGTTTGTAAATTTCTTATGTCCTTATGTATCATTTGGAAAGTCAGTACAGTGGTACCTCGGTTCTCGAACTTAATCCATTCCGGACTCCGGATCGAATCCTAAAAAGTTCGAGTTCTGATATAATTTTTCCCATAAGAAATAATGGAAAACCAATGAATTGGTTCCCGGCCCCCCAAAATTACACCTAAATATGTTTTGTTTTTTTTAGCATTTAAACACAAAATGAACAGGATAAAACAAGAAGAGCATTTTTTTCTTAATGGCTTCCAAAACGATAAAGATCTTATCCCAACATTACCCCTGTCCTGCCCCGATCGTCCG